TCTCCTCTCTCTCTCTCTCTCTCTCTCCTCTCTCTATCTCTTATCTCTCTCTCTCTCTCTCTCTCTCTTCTCTCTCTCTCTCTCTTCTCTTCTCGCTCTCTCTCTCTCTCTCTCTCTCTCTCTCTCTCTCTCTCTCTCTCTCTCCTCTCTCTCTCTCTCTCTTCTCTCTCTCTCTCTCTCTCCGTTCCTACCCTCTCGTCCCATGACCGACAACTGACTCTGCCCTCTCTCTCTCTCTCCCCCCCTCTCTCTCTCTTACTTCACCTTCCCATGTCATGCGTGCCTCTGTTCCCGGTAAGGGACGGTGTGACGGTGTGATGCTCGCTCGCAGGTGCGGCAGCTGCGGGACGAGATCATCCAAGAGAAATCCAGCGGCGTGCCCATCGTGGTGGTGGCCAACAAGTGTGACCTGGAGGGGCAGCGCGTGGTGCCCACCTCGCAGGCGTCCGTAGTCGAACTGGAGTGGGAGCACGGCTTTGTGCAGACCTCTGCCAAGGAGAATATCAACATAGTACAGGTGGGCGGGGTGTTGACACTGCAGATAGAGGAATGCCTGCAATGCCTGCAGGCGAGCAGGCGGGAGGCACGACGTTATGATGGAGGAGGGACATCAACGCCGTGCATGAAGGGAGGATGTCGATGTTGCGCTGGTGAGGGGACGTCAGCACTGTGCAGCTACAGAAACCTCAGCTTTCTATTTGTGTTCGGGTTGAAGGATATCAGCATTATGTTGGTGGGGAGGGCACCTGCACGGTTCACGTACGTAGGTTGAGGTCACAAATGCAGGGCTGCTGCCATCTCTGCAAGTGTCCGGAGTGCGGGCTGGAAAGAGTGGACTGATGGATGGATGGAGTGGACTGAAAGAGTGGATTGAGAGGATGGTGAGTTCAGTGGAGTTGAAGGCAGGGACTGGATGGGCAATGCCACGGAAATGTAACGGGACATACACAGGGCGTCAATAAGATGGGCTGAAAATCGCAACGCTAAATCCGATGATTAGTATCAAACCCCACAAGCCTTTTTAATGGCATAGGACAAGTAAACATGAATCAAGTTAGCATGCCTGGTGAAGAGAACCAGCCAGGACTGGGGGTAAAATTGGTCATGAACTATTCACATGTATGACACATCAATAAGCATCATAAATAGACCTTAAGCCCTATAAATGCACTTTTCATTCCCGAACTGTATACCTCAGCATTAGTACCCAGAGACAGTTGGTTTTAGCATGCCCACAACTACTGGAATAAGACTTCATCATGGGGCTATAAACTTCTCACAATTTGTTTCACATTTTGTCCCCCGAACTGATAGTACATATCGCAATTCCCAACTAGTAGTCTAGGGTGTTGTCGGATTATTTGAGGTAATTCAAGGGACCTCTCGACAAGAACCGTTTCTTAACGAAACATAGTGCCGCCGACTGGTATAAGGCCATAAAACTCAGACGCGGTTGCTCCCAGGTCAGGGACGGCTAAATGCGTTTACTGGCACGAAAGGCCATGAAGCACTGCTGTTGACGCTAGCGCTTAGCTTAACGCTTAGCTAGACGCTTAGCGCTGCTAAGTCGATGCACGCGTAAAGACGCAAGACCTGTCAGGCAAAGACGTATCCAGCTTGTTACTAGCCGCGGATTTGACCTTTTCTCAACATATGTTGCAAAGTCCGATCTCAGCATAATGTTGACCCCGCTTGGAAATTAAAGTTGTCTCAACACCTCTTGTTTTTGCCATGCTAGTCATTGGATGGCCACCGATTTTTCCGGCTATTGGTCAGCCTTTTATTTAAGACACTGACGTGTAATTTCACATGGCTTCCTTGGTGACAGTGCCCTGAAAATTTCACGCTCCGTATCAACCTGTCAAAACGTTGATATCATTTGTTTATCTATGCTGCATTAGCCAAATCAATGTTCTGTCTGTCAAAATCAATTTTCTGTTGCGACGCTCGCTTAGATGACATGAAAAGGTCTCCTCTCACCCGGGCGTATTACGCCAGTGAAGGAGTTACCGAAATCGATAAAGTTAAGCGCACGTCTCCTCGCGTTCGTCATCGAACAGCGCCCCTGGAGTCGCCTCCATGAGGTTCGAGAAGCGTGGAGCCTTTCAGCAAATGACGGCACTCAGCGAAAAGTGAACCGGGCCTGATGAAATGCAAACACAAACACCGACGTTTCCCGGTAGAATTGAGTTTGCCGATCTGCCTCCTTTGTTTGAGTTCAATGGGTTTCCGGACGTTGGCAGATGATGCAATACTGCTCTTAATCAAATCCATCGGAACAGTTTCCTTCCTCGAAACGCACATGTTGCAGCAAAGCAAATATTACTCAGCTGAAATGAGCAAAGAACAAAACAGATGAAGTCGATAGTCAATGCGCAGCACTTACCAATAACGACTGAGATGCATAGCATGCAAGTCGCAGGTTTATCACTCGGCATCAGGCACCTATCATTTATGAACACATTGAATTATTTCTTAGAAAAGGTACGTTACAACGTACGTTATAGTACAAGGTGCAAGGTACGTTACATTGCTGAACACAGTGCCTGGCCTGGTTATCTACCTAAGTTGTTGGTTGCAATGCTGCAACAGCATTATGCAATGCATGCAACGTCTGTATACATTATTGCACGACGTGGGACTGCGACGTGTAGCTGAATGGTGGTAGGTCATTGTCTCCCCCCTCCCCCCACCCCACCTCTTCCTCCCAGAGGGACGCTGAGGCCGTCCCCTCGCCTGTTCTGCGGCTGTCGGAGATCTCACTAACGTTGTAGAAACTGTGGTGCGTTTGTTTGTTTGTTTTTTGTACCAGAAGGTGTGCTTTCTGCAGGCATGGATGGAGGAGCTCAAACCGTACGCATGCATTACTGTTCACTATTTTGGTTAGAAAGCAATGGGAGTGTTTGCCAGCCAATTACAACCAACATTCAGTTAAAGACGGTCATTTAGGTAGTATGCAGATATTCTTTCGCTAGCTATCTGAAGCGTAGGCTATTGAAGCCCACGCTTATTCTTCCTAGTTCTTCATTCTTCTAGCAATTATTTTGATTGGCGAGCTTAGTGATGCTTAGGTCGCTGATGGACACATGGTGTCCCGTACGTGGTGGTTTTGGAGCGACCTGACCCCGAATATTCGGTATGGAGCATTAGTTCTTTGGGTACAAATGACCTTTTCTCTGACAACTAGCGTTGGATTCGTTCCGATAGCTGTTAAAGGTTATAATGATACTCGCTGCCCACGGCTCATGGCCTTGGCTGAAGTTGGCTGTTGAGTAAAGCAAATCTACAGCACTGACTTTTCAGCTTTCACGACATTTGCAATGAACTAAATAATGATACATTCGTTTGGGATTTTCACTTAGATGCCTTACTTGGCTGTCAACCTCACTTTTGGATTAGCGTGCTAAGCGCCTATCACCTGAACTCGGAACCTCCACACAAGCTGTGCCGGTTCGGTTAATTTGGTCGTCGATTGTGTCGCCCCAAAAATGCAGCAGGAAGTTGTATTCATGTCTTAAAATACTGCAATTCGTCGGCCTCTAGCCAGAACATCCTTGTCTGGCAGCAGACAAGTCACAGTCACTTTTGATGACCCCTGAACGTAAGATTACTTTGTAAACAAGGTATATTATGCTGCTCAAGTCTGTTCTCCGCTTTATCACTAAGAACCCCACTTACCCGCCCCCGAACCAGTGGATGGCGACCTCTGCCGGATGCTAAAAACCGGGGCGTCGTATTTTTGGGACCGCACCGCTCCAAGCGTCATTTGAGTAAACAAGTTAATGAGTCGCAAGTTAAATATCAATTGTTCTTCAGTGAGCTGGAATACTTTGGCAACAGTTTAAAGCAGGCTATGTATTGCCAGACACCGACAAAGACGATGTGAAGAGATTATTATCCACGCATGGAATAATTGTTGTTTCATAGGGAGGAAGGCACAATTTTTTAGTGTCCTTCCCCAATGCTTTGACCCGTGGAAAAGATACTGGACGGAGCGCTGACAGGGAAGGGAAAGCGGGAGAGCAACGATACGGCCTTTGGAGAGCACCACAAAAGCCATCAAATGAATACACGGGGCAAGGTATCACTTTGCATGGTTCTAAAATCCGCATCTGAGTCGCACGGAGCGTACAAAGGTGAATCATTTAGAAACATTGCAGGCATACAATATGCTTAAACCAGTAGGCAGTGCCAACAAGTCAGAAACCTAAATCTATGGATGCAGCTATGATGCCGCGTGAAAACACAGCACTCGCTCACGTCTTTATGTTTAGCGTTAATCCCATGGTATCGCGATGAAAGCATGAACTAAACCCACCCAGAATGTTCCGGACCGTGCTCCATGTCCGCGCGTCGATGGTCAGCCGGTGGCGCCGCCCCACGCAGCCTCGGTGCCCAGTGACAGCGCCTCGCTCTACCGTGCCCGGCAGGTGTTCAAGGAGCTGCTGAGCCAGGCCAAGGTGCGCTACGACCTGAGCCCGGCCGTGGAGAAGCGGCGACAGTCGCTGCCGGTCACCCAGCTGTCCGACGGCCAGCTCAAGCACCTGCAGAACATCAGCAGGAAAAACGCCAAACGCACTTCGTGCGTCATCTCCTAGGCGCGGCAGACAGGACAGGACAGGACAGGACAGGACAGGACATCATTTCCTAGTCGCGACAGACAGGACAGGACAGGACAGGACAGGACATCATGTCCTAGGCGCGACAGACAGAACAGGACAGGACAGGACAGGACAGGGCATCATTTCCTAGTCGCGACAGACAGGACAGGACAGGACAGGACAGGACAGATGAAATGGATAAAGGCTTAGCGACGCTTACCGCTTTCCCTGCCGCCACGCCAACGGGAAACTGTGTGTGCTTGTGTTCGGCTTCAGGATGTTCGCGCCGTGCAATTCGCAACACCGAGCACGCATTAAGAGCATCGTGCAGTGATAATGGCTGATCTCGGTGGGGCCTCCACCGGCGACCGGCCCGGCGCCAGGGGGCCGGGATGACGTCACGAGGTGTGCGCGGTGACCCGGTATGTGCCTCGGGTCTCGGGCCGGTGTCACTCTCTGATGTCGCCGTCGCCTGAGCGGCACTTCAGCCGCCGCCAGACGCCAGGGGCCTCAGGGACTGCCCGCGCCGTCAGTTCGCGACCACCAGAACTTTGAAACACCTCTGTCAAGCGTCCATCGGTGCGAAGCTCACTCCAGGAGGGCGTAGACACCAGCGGTAGGCTTCATTGGCGTCCGTGTGATCTTGCCGGCGTGGTGACTCGTCCACTGCCCACCCGATGTGCTGGAGGCATCCGGAGTGACCTGATGGCGGCACAGTGATATGCTGTCACACGTGACGTTACGGTGCTGATGTGACGCCACGGCGACCGTCAGGGCCGGCGCAGAGAAACTCAGGCGGTGTGCGCACGTGAAAGTCAATCGTTGCCGGCCGGTCAGCCGCGGCGAAGCCTTGCTGTGCATATCCGGGGTAAGGAAGCGGCGTCCGCGGCATCTGCTTCTGGTCCTTGGCCCCTCGCCGCTCAAGTTCGCCTCATGTTTCGGCGATGCGTGAGATGAGCCAGACCGAGCTCAGGAGGCGGTGGCGCCGATTCCTGGTGGTTTGCTGTCGTTTGTTGTCGGCGCCGTCGGCGAGCGCGAGCTGAACTAATCTCCTTTATGCGAGAGAAACCGTGGGATGAGTCTGTAGATAAGATAACTTCCCTTGCATGATGCAGGTAGAGTGACGCTTGGTCTCTGTGCGGTGGAGATTGCGCGCGTGACAATGTGCGTGGGTGTTCTGGCGAAGCGCCTATTTTATCGGAAGGACGAGCAATTGGGGGTAGAGTTTACAGCGGAGGGGAGGGGGGATAGTTATTGCCGCAGTGTACTGTGTTGTTTGCCTGAAAGTGAAATTGTTAATTGAGACTGGACGTCAGTGATTTATTGAGAATTGCTATAGTCAGTGTCAGTTTTCCAGCAGTCGCACAACCTCTATACGGGCTGCAAAAGGTCTGCTTATAACACTTGAGTGCGTCCTTGTATAGACAGAGAGAGAGAGAGAGAGAGAGAGAGAGAGAGAGAGAGAGAGAGAGAGAGAGAGAGAGAGAGAGAGAGAGAGAGAGCAGAGAGAGAGAGAGAGAGAGAGAGAGAGGAGAGAGAGTAGAGAGAGAAGAGAGAGAGAGTGAGAGAGAGAGAGAGAGAAGAGAGAGAGAGAGAGAGAGAGAGAGAGAGAGGAGAGAGAGAGAGAGAGAAGAGAGAGAGAGAGAGAGGAGAGGAGAGAGGAGAGAGGAGAGAGAGAGAGAAGAGAGAGAGAGAGAGAGAGAGGAGAGAGAGAGAGAGAGAGAGAGAGGAGAGAGAGAGAGAGAGAGAGAGAGAGAAGAGAGAGGGAGAGAGAGAGAGAGAGAGAGAGAGAGAGGAGAGAGAGAGAGAGAGAGAGAGAGAGAGAGAGAGAGAGAGAGAGAGAGAGAGAAGAGAGAGAGAGAGAGAGAGAGAGAGGAGAGAGAGAGAGAGAGAGAGGAGAGAGAAGAGAGAGAGAGAGAGAGAGAGAGAGGAGAGAGAGAGAGAGCAGAGAAGGAGAGGAGATGAGAGAGTGGAGAGAGAGAAGATGAGAGAGAGAGGAGGAGAGAGAGAGTGAGAGAGAGAGAGAGAGGAGAGAGAGGAGAGAGAGAGAGAGAGAGAGAGAGAGAGAGAGAGAGAGATACATAGATATAGACAGATAGTCCGATATATTCAATCTAACGCTTTGAAAACACTGGTTATACATGTATCTGTAACTTTGGCAAAGGCAGCTTTGGCAAGGTGCAGGTTTTCTGGTAGATCATTGTATGCATCACGTTTTATGGTAAGGCTCTCAACATAACACCTTGGCTGCTCCCACCCCGTTGATGCATGAAGTTTGCATCCAACACATTCAGATCCGTCTGTAAGTCATACTGATTCTTTTGTTATAACAAGAGGTCCTTTTCGGTCGAGAACTTTTTCTTGCCATGCCCAACACACTTGATCATCGCCAAAACATTGGCTCAGGCGAAACACATAGCAAACGTATTTGTCTTTACCTCAACGCCGATGCACACTGATCACTTCAATGACGTTTACCAGACGAAGCTTCTCGGCATGACCTGAACATACGCGGGCCAATGGCGTGGTCTTGGGCTGCTCTTTAGGTGCAAGACGTCCTTGTTTTTGTTCCACGATTAATCCACTATCCACGATCTCCGTTTCTGTCAAAATCAACCCGCAGTTGCTCCTGTCGGGTGGCGTATCAGCCATACCAAATCATCGTTGGCTCTTTGTGTGGTCAAACAAGCCTGCTATACTCTGTAGCTCTTAATATCTGGATCTTCCTGGGTGACGCGAGCGGTTCGTGGGTTTGCAACCGGCGAATTTGTTTAGTCGGATTTCAGAGACATTCGTTGTCACTGTGTCTCTCAGTGTGGCCAGGACATGTCTGTCGCAACATTATTGGTATTCGTGCGTCGACATACTGTCATCGAGAAAGGGGCATTTCCAGTAAGGCTTTTTGTCCCAGTTTATTTGTTCGCCTATCTAAAATGAAAATCACCTGACGTTACGGTGTAATTTTAACTGTCATGCTCTGCTCAAATGTCGTATAGGCTGCACATCTTAAGTGCGATGCATACGGGATGTGTTGGTACTTTGCTATGGCTACGGTCGGACCACCCGAGGCTTGGGCTGCCCCACCAGGGTTGCCAAAGATCCAGGTAAGCAGAGTGGGCCAGTACCAACGCTTGAGGCTCTTTGTCAGATCAGTATTCCACACCTCTTGTTCAGGAGCATTCCTGCGCAGTTTGTTGAAATCACTTCAGCAAAAGGTGTCATGCGGACTGGAACGTCTTTACTATAGCCCCGAACGATATCAAACTTAGGCGAACTTCCAAGTGATTCTGTACAAGAGACGCAAATGACAAAATTAACCCAAAATTGGCAGCCCAAAATCGCCAAAATAAGGCTTCATTTTCTACCGCCAATTTCGTATTCTGAAACCCTACTCTCGCCTGGGGTTCAAACTTCTGCCGTGACTTTCAGGGCATTTATTTCGCCCTAGCCAACGCGCGACAGCTGCCATCGTGGTGGCACCGGGTGCTGCCTTTGTGCTGTACTCAGCCATCACGAGCTCTGTGGACCAGCGGGGGGCTCGCGATGGCTGCATGGCTGAGCGTTCGTGATGGTTGTTCGTGATGAGGGCCCGTGATGGCTGCGTGGCTGAGTGTCCGTGATGGTTGCTCGTGATGAGGGACCGTGATGGCTGCGTGGCTGAGTGTTCGTGATGGTTACTCGTGATGAGGGCCCGCGATGGCTGCATGGCTGAGTGTCCGTGATGGTTGCTCGTGATGAGGGCCCGTGATGGCTGCGTGGCTGAGTGTCCGTGATGGTTGCTCGTGATGAGGGCCCGTGATGGCTGCGTGGCTGATTGTTCGTGATGGTTGCTCGTGATGAGGGACCGTGATGACTGCGTGGCTGAGTGTTCGTGATGGTTGCTCGTGATGAGGGCCCGTGATGACTGAGTGACTGAGTGTTCGTGATGGTTGCTCGTGATGAGGGCCCGTGATGACTGAGTGGCTGAGTGTTCGTGATGGTTGCTCGTGATGAGGGCCCGTGATGACTGAGTGGCTGAGTGTTTGTGATGGCTGCTCGTGATGAGGGACCGTGATGACTGCGTGGCTGAGTGTTCGTGATGGTTGCTCGCGATGAGGGCCCGTGATGACTGCGTGGCCCGAACTGGGACTTCTCCGCACCTTACTAAAACTCGTATCACGTTAGCTGTTTCGACCTTCCTGCGCTTTCTTTGTGTTCGTGTGTTTCTGCGTGCAGTTCTTCCGTCTGTAGATGTATAATGCGGTTACTGTGTGGTAGTTATCTCCAAATCGTGTTGCAACTGTAATGCAGCAGACGATGATCGTGAGGTTATTTATGATTTAAAAACAAGCTGGGATCAGCTTTAAATAAAGCGCATCGTAAGGCGCCCCTTTAGCCAAGGGGGAGCCCGACCTTGCATGTATATATTTGTGTGTGTGTCTAACATTTCGCTACATCCTGCCTGCGGCAGGGACTGTAATGAACTCGGTTTAGCGGGTGAAACTGTGTCGTTTGAACCGTTCAGGTCCCTGCTTGTTGAGTCCGGCGGAAAGTTCGCTGATGTCGCGAGGGAAGTTCGTGTTGTGCGGCACCGAAATGAGCCAGGGGTCGCCTGTCTTGAGTATCCGTGCCCGGTTCCAAAGGCGGCCTCAGGGATACTTGACAGGCGGCTCAAGCGGGCTATTTAGGCTTATTGCCATCTCAGGTATCCTTTTTCCTGCGAGCGCCGGGACAAGTGCGTTGAGACATCTCCGGGCAAGGGATCATACCACTGGCTAAGATTGAAAGACGTTCAGCGCATTAGGCGTCCGGCAACGCGGTGGATATTGAGGCTTCCAGAGAAACGCGAAGACGGCAGCAGAGCCGTCGGCCACGCGGGGTTAACACACTCCCGCGCCCCTCGCCATACGGGGCTTACTAACTCCCACGCCCCTCGCCACGCGGGGTTAACACACTCCCACGCCCCTCGCCACGCGGGGTTAACACACTCCCGCGCCCCTCGCCACGCGGGGTTAACACACTCCCGCGCCCCTCGCCACGCGGGGTTAACACACTCCCACGCCCCTCGCCATACGGGGCTTACTAACTCCC